GAGAGTACTAAGGTGGCATCGAGAAGGAAGAGGGGGAGGAGGAAATTACACGAACACAAGAAAGCAGGTGATATGAAGCACATCGACAACGGCACGACACACAAGCCCCAAGATTAAGCAAATGGTGACGAAATGGTAAAGTGAATAAACATGCAAATGCGAATGCGAGGGTTTGTGCAGGGATCACAACAGCTTGTCGAGGATCTTGCCACCAAGGGTCGTGGGAGGGATGAGTTCCTCCTCGGTCTCCTCAATGGTTGGGATACCAGAGACGAAGTCCATCTCCTCTGGTTTCCACCATTTCGTGCGCTTGACCACCTTCCATCCACCCCAAAGCATGAAGAAGAGGGGGACATTGAGGTACGCGGTGAGGAAGCCTGAGGCAGTGAAGTCCCAAAAGACGTGAATACCATTGACGAGGATACAGAAAGTGAGCCAGAACACCGCCCAAATGGCGACGTAGGGTTGCCCAGGTGCAGCATAGTAGAGCGTGCTGCGGTCAATGCCCTGAGCTTTGAGGCCGCGGTAGAAACCGAGATAAGTCGCGTCTGTGGAGGTGGGGTTGTCAGTGTGTGGCGGGATTTATGGAGAGGACGAGGAAAAGAGAGGATAGAGTGGGGAAAATGGAACAAAGTAGCACTCACTGATACCCAGCCATGCAAAGAAGCCAGAAACGGTGGTCAGGTTTTGGAACCAGGTGAAGACAGTGTTGGCACCACTGGCAATGGTCATGAATGACAGCCATGGGAAGCAGCTAGCAGCAAGGATTGCGGCGAGGGGCAGACCGGACTTGGTGGTGTACGTGAAGATCTTGGGAGCTTGACCACGGAGCGACAAGCCGTACAAGATACGGCTAGCGGTGAACAAGAACGAATTGGCGGCCGAGAACGCAGAAGTGAAGACAGCTGCATTGATGACGTGAGGAAGACCTCTAATCCCTGCGCGAGTCATGGCAATGACGTAAGGAGACTCTGAGGCATTCCCAGTAGACTGAAGCAGGTTGGGATCGTCATATGGGACTAGAAGACCCGTGACGAAAACGCCAAGAATGTAGAAGACGATAATGCGGTAGAACACACGACCAACGGCCTTCTTGATGTTGCGGCGTGGGCTCCTTGTCTCGGATGCAGCGATAGCGACAAGCTCGACACCCTGGTAGGAGAAACCAGCGCCGACGAGGACAGAGAGCATAGCAATCCAGCGACCGTCAGCACCGGGCTCGAGGTATGAGTTCATAGCGCCAGGGTGTTTCCAGTAACGGAATCCAATGCGGTCTGTTGCAGTTGTAAAGTTGGTGCTTGCACAAGTGGAATTTAGCTCACAAACGTACCATGGTTAGGAGCACCACCGAGGTCGATGACGAGACCGGCGATGATAAGGCCAGTAATGAGCATGAGCTTGATGCTCGAGAAGACAACCTCACTCTCGCCGAACCACCTGGCACCGAACAAGTTGATCCCGATGACAATCAAGCAGATAATCTGGGGATGATTAAGGAGATAAATAAGACTAAAGTGATCGACTCAGATTGGTTCAAATAAACTTGCTTACAGTCAAGTAGATAGGGAAGTGGTCGGTGTTGGAATCCCAGAATGTGAGAACAATCTGAGCAGCTGAGATTTCAACGGGAATCGTGATGGCTTGGCCGTAGAAGTAGTTCCACCCAATTGCAAAACCAAAGGCAGGATCGACCCAACGAGCCGCAAAGTGGGGGAAAGTACCCGAGATGGGAGCGAATGTGGTCATTTCGCCGAGCGAAAGCAGGGTAGAGTACGCGATGGTTGCCATGAATATGTACACTTATAATAGAATATTAGGCTGCCATTCGGCGAGAGGGGGTTAGGGGGCATACCTAGCAGTGCACCCACTGGCCCAGCTGTAGCGATGGAACCGCCTGACCCGAGGAAGAGACCGGTACCGATAGTGCCTGTAGATTGCGGGGCAAAAACGTTAGCGCCATGGGATTAGGAGTGTGAAGACCATGCGGTGATTCGCACACGGAGATGCTAGGTTGCCGCTGAATGTAGGAGAGACTTACCCGCAAGCGCAATCATTTGCACATGACGCTGCCCAAGCTTTCGCTGGACGCCATCGAGCTCGGAGTGATCAAAGTCTAAAGAAAGGAAGATAACAGAGTCATTATATAGTAGAAATTATGCAAGGATGCAAGTGGACGTACGATAGCGATCATCAGCGACAGCAACATGGCCGTCGTTAACGGAGGCTTTCTCCGGGTCAGAGTTCTTCTCATTGTGGTAAGACATCTTCCACTAGGTAACGGAGGGCGTAAAGGACCACGGGGACCAGAAACGGCGAGGCGCAAGGCCGTCGGCGACGTTGGCAAAGGTAGGGGGGAGGGAGGGTGGATACCTGAGGGATAGAAGTTCGCTGATATGGAACCATATATAGGAAGGCTATCAGGATTGCACCATTCAATTGCGTTCATATCGTTTGCCCCCAGGCACGATAGGAATATTAATGTTTGGAGCTGGGAGCACGCGAGCTTGTTAATAGACTTGCCTCGGCTATGGATCGAATGAGAGCCCACAAAATGCAGCACGGATGATATTCATGATAAGAACTCATTTCCAGCAAGCGACAGCCCCCATGGCGCAGCACAATGTTGTCGCAACTGCCAGGATCGATGACTGGATGTAGCCGTCGGTTCTCGTTATTCCCAGCTGAAGGGTCTTCTTATTGCGAATTGGTGGTGGGTGAGAAGGTTCCATTTCTGCGCCAGATTTGCGTCACACAGCAGTGAGAAGACTCATATCAACCCGTTGATCAGAGGCGCCAATGCATGAAAACCTGTGAGGATCTTCATGAAGGACTTATAGCGCCCGCCCGAATCGAGTAAATGGCCGTTGAATGCGTAGAAAACCGCCCGACACTGCTTTTGTGTCATGCACCACAGAGAAGGCTTCCTCAAGGACAAAGATGTGATTAGGGGATGTTGGGGCGTCATCGCCTCCGGAATTATAAAAATATCCAGCTCAAGCGATGGCCAAGATATAGCTTCGGTAAACGTGTTCTCCCGAGCAGAAGAAGAGATAAGGTTTCACTTGTGATCGGCACCAGAAACCGAGAATTCAGAGTTGATACTTGTTGGCAGTGGTGGCTGTAACCGTCTCCCAGGCCTCTCCTTCTCTTTCTTGTCAATGGATGTGGACGATGCGTCAACCCTCGTCGATGACGCATCCATCTTGACCGCCTTCAGTGCCTCGACGCTGTCCCTCAAATCATATCCGATCCCACTTCCCTCGGGTGGATCCTTCAAGCTACCGTCCATCCATTCCTGGCCTCCGTTCTTCACGTATGCCCTTTTTGTCTCCACCGCTCCCGCATCATTTATCAATCATTTCTGATCGTTTTTTGTTTCTTGCTCGTGTGCCCATACATAAATCTCACTAAAAAAACGCCATGCCGGGCCGTCCTTGTCGCTTTGCGCCCCCGCCGCAACCCCTCATCCTGCCGACTAATCTCTTCGCCTGCCTCCGCGTACCTTGATCCGCACCCCTCCCTCGCTGAATGAATATCCCCACTTGCCTACCCCCTCGGCATGACCGGTATCTCCGGCGCAAATTTCGATCTGAACCGGGCCCACTAGACAGCAGCGAAATCCCACCACCCTAGCCAAACAGACCCAGTTTTGGACACGACTGATCCTCAACTATGCTCGAGATCGACGGCTCTTTATACTTCATCTCCAAGATGCTGAGCAGAGATCTGGCACAGAGTGGTCTGATATCATTTACAACCCTCGAATAAAAAGTGAGCTCCTTTCCTTGTTGTCATTCGTATTCAGTTCGTCTATCTATCATTATATATGAGGAGGGTAACCCGTTGCTCTGAGCAATGTTAACCTCGCTTGGCTGGCTTTATGGCTGTACTGGCTGAGTCGGTGCCTTCTCGGCGAAGCTTCCTCCAGCCAAGCCAGGTGCTGCACCTAATATTGAGCAGGTTCAGAGCGATCAATGACAATGGATTCGCCGCCCCTCCTTACTTTACTTTACCCCTTGAGCTTCCTTCCTTCCCACGTGATACGGCCTCTAATTGCATGTGCGCTCCAGTATACTTGCTATCCTAACCCATCTTGCTTTGCCTCTATTAGGGATCCTCAAGCGCAAGCACCTGGAAGACATTATGAGATCAATGGTGGCGCTAGGAGACGCCGCATATGAGCCCGAAAGGCAAACGTCTGCGATCCTCGTGTACTGGCGGCGACCTGAGCAGTGGGCCGAAACCATCCATGAATGGGTGCGTCCGTGCAACACTGGAAGAAGAGTTTCCAATCTGACATGTGCATTTCGTCCTCCCACACGCTCACATCGATCTGCCTACTCCCTTTCTCTCCTGCTGTCGATTGGCGCGCAACTCGCAACTAATACACTGCGCATCAGGTAAGTCAAACGGGCCAACTCAACACTATCCTCACGTTCTACGAGCTCGTCCAACCTGAAATCACGACTGAGCTCTCTGGGCTACCAATCCCTCTCCTTCGCCGCGCCCTCGCCGTTCTCGTCAAGAGCGGTCGAGCGCAGATCATTGAGAATACTGGGGGCGGTGCTAGCAATGCAGGGGAGGAAGGAGGGGGTGCAGGCGTGAGGTTCTTTGCTCCACGATGAGTGCAGATCGCAGGATGGAGATTTTCGTCTGCATCTCTGACTCATGCTGGGTTGCTAACATACACGTACAAACTCCTTGTCGTTTTCTTTGCATCACGCACCGACACTTGTAGCCATCAACTGCAACTATGTATATTACGAAAACCAGGACAAAATCTTGCTGTACAAATGATAAGCTGATCGAGGTCCCAACTAATCTACTGCGCTGCAAGTGGAAATCTTGAGAATTCGGTTATTCCTGCAAATCTTTCGCAAACAGGATCCCTTGATCCACTATTCTCACCAGAAATAGAATGTGCCACGCCAAGCTCCAAGCCCGCCAAGAATGGTTGGCAACGAGATGCAAAAAAAGTCCTTCGAACCTGGATAAAAAAGTCCTTCGAACCTGGATCGAACAGGTGACATCAAGATCAACAGGAGATATCCAATTACAGTCTTGCGCTCTACCAACTGAGCTATCGAAGGATTGTTGAGGTCTCCGCTGGCTGGAGCTCCTATGATGTAGCTGAGCTCCCACGTTCTACTCAAAGCTTGTCACCCAAACTCTGACTGGTATGAACAGAAAGCGCAGTTATTTTTCGGAGGTACTGACAAGTATATCACCCCGATCTTCGTTGGACAGCTAACCATCGATCATCTACTTTATGAGTTCCCAACGATCTTCCGCAGTTGGTTTCCCGGAGTCCGGATTCCACAATAAACCATTCACGATTCCCCGCATCGATCTCTGTGAGAAGCTAGCAGTGGACACACACCCGTGATCATCCAGCTCGAACCACCTGCCAATCTGGTGAACCGTGAGCGGTCCCCATATGTCGGAACCCCCGCGTGGTGAAACGATAAGGAGAATTTACCCATCAGATCACAGATAACGCTACGAGGGATGTGCTTGGCGGGACGTACCTCTTCGAGCGCTCCTGCTTCTCGGAGAAGGCGTTCCTGCTCAGGTGGGAGCGACATAGGGAGGTAAAGTGTACGAAGTATCCCTTTTCGCTGTGTGACAAACTCTGTCAGGAGGGGGATCTCGCGAAGGAGAACGTTTTGCGTTTCTTCCGCAAAGTATGTGCGAACAAAAAGTTCTCGGAGGTGCGGAAATGGCAAGGAGGATGTGGCGAAAGCGGTATCATCGACCATCAATGATCTGAACAGAACGGCCGGCTGTTCGAACCAACTGGTTGATATGGTCAGTATTTCAAGTGGTGAGTATTGTCTCGCGGCCTCTTCACAATGAAAAGTGAGGTAGCAAAATTCGCCATAGTCGTCTTATCGATAGTAGAACAATAAGTAACTGGGACTCACCCACTGATTAAGAAATGTGATACACCGCGCCCCGCGCGTCTTGACCAGTTCAAGAGCTGTTATATTGATTGAGTGGAAGTATGGAAGGAGCGTAATGCCATTATGGAGCCGGAGGGAGGAAATCTTTGTCCAGGCATTTTGACATCTCTCTCCTTCTTCTGGCAACGCTATAGGTTGTTCATAACCGGTAGGAGCCCCCCAAAGCGTCAAGTGAATCCCCGCTGGCGCACCCTGCAATAGCTGCAGCAACGTCCCCATATCCTTCTGGGTACACAGTTGCCAGCCCAAGCTCTTGAGATAAGGAAAACTCCCGGTAAGTTTAACAGGGGCGTAATACAGGAACACTGTCGTCAGAGCGGAGAAGGGAGAAGCACCGAGATGCAAGGGACTATAGCTGTCATCATCAGGACTAGCCCCCGAGACTAGCATTTTCTGCAGGTTATGAAACGAACCTTCCTCAAATACACACTTGAATTCCGATCAAAGACCGTTGTTGAGTAATACGTCCGTCTGCGTCTCCACCTGTAGAGTACCGATGCGATCAATATAGCCCTTGACTTTGTCGCATAGACTACGGATACGCGTCCCACCCTCATCGCTGTCGCGATCATCAACCGCGACTTTGAGAGGTCTCAGTCCCGCGCGAGACGTCCACAGTGCTATCGTGGGACCCGACCATGTTCCCCAGGCAGGGAAGACAAATAGCCACGACATGTTGAGAACTTATGCTCGCCAAAGCCGTGACACAGATAGCATAGGAACTATAGCGTGAAATTTCTCTGGATAGGGATGACGTAATCGATGATATGCTGGAATACTTCTGGAGGAAGGGGCTCTATTGGGCCCATCGGCATTCGCAGAGCCAAGCGTGTCTCTGTGATGCTCCGATGGCGCTCGTGCCCTAGTAGCGCACAAGTTCCATCCTCCATAACGTCGGGTATCGTCATCGGCGATGCGTCGGCCGTGCTCCTTTGGCTTGGAGAGTTGACAGATATGTGTGAGGGACTTGACAAGATTTCATGACTCTAGCTTAGCTACAAAGGACGTCAGTATTCCCACGTGTAGGTAAAGGATGCTCCAAACCTGCTCCTCCCCAAGCATGCTATCTGGCGGAAGAATACAACCTGTGGTAGCTAAAGTTGTGATTCATATCAGACAAAGGCAAGATATAGTTAATGTTGTGCCACATGCCCGAGCGCCGGGAGTTCAAAGCCAATGTTTATGGTAGGTTTCACTGTCTCAGTAGAAAAGGCTCGCCTGGAAGAAAAGCTAAAAGACGTTGGGAAGAGAGTTCGGTGTCTACACATATTTGGCATTTGGTCAAGTTCAGGCTCGGGAGTCCGGCTAGGATCCTCTACTCGTTTCCCACTCATCGTCCCATCTCGCGGGAGGCTTCCACAAGAATTATTTGGCCTCCATTAGCCTATCTGTTATTGCCCGCATCGCGGTTTTCGGGCGCTGCCTGGAGCACGACACCAGCTGAGAATGCCTCTTCCGTTTCTCACTCCATTTTTAGTCCTCTCTAATACCCCGCTAATTGTATCAACAGGAGTTGGGAACCTGAAATATACGCTTCCTGGCGGATCATGCCTATATGATTGACAAATTGCACCCCTATCGGCCGTATCAGCTTTCTCAGCGCGTCCCAATAGTGATTGACCGCACGAGCAGGACTCATTACCCCGTACAATACCCTCTGGCGTCAATCGCGATTTGCTTCCATAAGTGATGGGAGTCTCTCTTGCTTGCGATGCCTCTTGCAGCCGCATTGGTACAGTTGAATCTGGAACCTTCCCTAATTGCAATCTACCCCCTCCTCCAACGTGCCGAGCGCAATACATACAATATGAAAGCGTGAATTCATCTATAAAATTTACGGTTTGTCATCCGTACGGCTGAGTTTACGGACGAATCTTATGTGCGAGGCGTACAGCGGCATCGAAGGGGCTCGTCACGGTGGACTGCAGTGCGCATAGCCCTCGGATGAATAGAGCCTTCGAACAATCGCAAACTAGGGATGGAAAGCGTGCTTGCCCTCACAAGTGTGATTCCGCATTGATTCCTCGTGCTGATGTGATGACGCTAGCTGGCGCCAGAGCTAATTATTCTTATCAGGAGGTTCATCTCCTTACACTCGCCTTGACCAATAGTGCAGGGCCATGCAGCTTCCGCGTGTCTGGATAGCGTTGATATTACGAATCTTGAATCTCGGAAACACGCTATGTTGCACTGCCAACTTTGGCTGTTCGTCTCAAAGGCACTCTCCCCACCAGCGCCACCTGATCCTGACCATTACAACGTCTATAGTTAACGGGCACACTGAAGCTGTCTCATTTTTTTGATACCTTGGAGCGCATACTCGGCGTGTACTTCATATATGTCAACCCCTCAACTTTGTGCTGACAGCACCGTCAGATCCGCCGCTGTGGCCCCCAATCGTAGTGAGTCATTCTCATCATGAGCGACATCTCTTTCTCAAAAAAGCCTTGATACCAGGCGCACAACATGCTCGGCACTGGCCAAACCCCTGGAATCGCGTCATTAAGGGAGCAACAGCAGATCCCCATCGGTTATCTCGCAAAAAAACGATTATCATTCCCGTGGGCGGGCTGGGTGACCCTTCTTCCCGAGGGTGCAGCGCATATCCTGAACCTCTCAAACTCAACTCACGACGCTCGCTGTATGTTGTCGATGTGCTCGAGGAATTCGCTGCCTTCCAACAAGACCTTATATCATTTTGCCATGTCACCGCCCACCACCTTTCCTACTACAAAGACACCCCCCCTCATTCGACCACGCTCGTTACCCCCCAAAACGACCCTATCACAAAGCCTGCCCGTGATTTCTCCTCTATCGAAGAGTTCATTTGCTTCGCTCTTCTCTCCATCCTCAGTTCGCGTCTCTATGACGACATATTTTTTCCCTTCCACCCTTGCGCGAGTAGTGACGATAATCAACAAAGGGAGGAAGAATATCGAAATCTGATGGATGACGGCAAGTCCTCTAACATTTGATCCTTGAGTCTTTGTATTAATTATTAGAGTCTATGTAGAGCTCCAACCACGAGTTGCTGCTTGGAGGGCAAACGCTTTTAACGATATTGAGCGTAACCTCCGAGATACCAATTTGGATAATCTCCTCGATCGGATCTCTGGATCTGTCCTGGATGAGTTGACTGCTGCTCTCCATACTCTCCCGGGCGAACTTCCGCTGTTGAGGTCAAACAAGCTAAGCCAGGAACTGAAAGCTCTGATCACACGCGCATACAACTGGAACCGCTCGATCAAGGTCGACGTCCTCACTTGCGATTTAGAGGTCTTTCTGGTTGAACCTTCGTCCGACTGGGATCCGTTTCGAATGGGGACTCTTGACCCTTTGAGATCCATTGGATCTGGAGCAAGGGTGGTATCCCTTATAACTCTTGGAGTTATTAGCAGCGTCTCGTTAGAAGGGATGCGAGTGTCTCATGTCCAACAGAAGGCTCTTGTGTTGGTAGATGAGTGGTTCGTCGGGAAAACTTATGGTCGTCACATTAGCAACGTTGACCTACTCCAATCCCTTGACCGCCTGCAACCTATCGCTTTTTCAGACCAAACTTCCCGCGACGACATCTTCCTAACTGCATATCATGTGAAAGGTTGTCTACTAGTCCTCTCCATGGTTGAGCTGTGCTTCAGGATAAAACATTCACCCTACGCCTCCAACACCAGCTTTGTAGCGGAGCTTGTTTGGTACAGAGGAACCGCGGGGGTCAAGCACGAGTTCTTGCTAGCGAAAATCTGCGGCCTGGATCCCTCTACGACATTATCACCGAACAATCGCACAAATCAGCAAACCTTATCAACTCGAGAGGAAACTTTCACTGTATGGGCAAGATTGGATCGTAGGGCCAAGCAATCACATAGTCTTATTAAGGGGTCATCTGGCATGTTCCCTGCGGACGACACAGTGCGTCCAGACCTAGATTTTTTCACGGAGTTAACTAATGTACATGCAGGTAATGTTATGTTCAAGCCGGGAGGTCTTGGAGCGGTTTTCGGGATCCTCAAGCATAGTGCAAGCCACCATGATATTCTGCTCCACCCCATCATTAGGCGACTTGGGAAACCTGCTTAGTATACTAATCAAGGAATCGCCACACTACAATCTTATCAATGTAAAGCTTG